TGCAAGTTATTGCGAAGCCGAGAAATACCATGACTGTCCCCCTACTTCTTGCGGTAGCATCACAAACATTAGCTACCCGTTTCGACTTAGAGGTGACCCTGAAAATTGTGGCGATTCAAGCTACGAACTTGCTTGCGAGAACAATCGCACTATCCTCTATCTAAATTCCAGCAGATTCTTCGTGCAATCAATTTCTTACAATAACTTTACTATTCGACTACTTGACCCTGGCCTGGAAAAAACCAGTTGTGCTTCATTTCCAATTAACAGTCTGTCATACGATTACCTATCAACATTTTACACTTTTGAATCGCATGAATTGAATATTCCTATAATATTTATCCACTGTGAAGCTCCTGGAAAGTCTCCTTACTATGTTGATACATGCATTTGCAGTAAAAATATTTCGCTGCAGAAATATTCCTATCTTGTAGCCGGATACCACGTCAGTGTTGCAGATTTAGAGGATTCCTGCAGTATTGACACGATGGCTTGGATTTCAGAAAAAATTCCCATAGTTGATAATGCCTCCTGTTCAGACATTCAAGATGTGCTGGCTTACGGATTTGTGCTTCGCTGGTACCTAGTCTACTGCAAGGATTGTGAAGGATATTGTCATATTGACCTTTATAATAACATCGAATGCTCTCCCTCCTGCGAATATTCGGATCCCACCTTCCGTGGTCTATGGCCCACTTGTACGTGGATTACTAGTCTAGATAGCTTCTTATATTTTTCCTCTGTAACAAGATAGAGATTCTTATTTTTCTATACATCAAGTGTATATTTAAACAGTGAAAATAATTGATTACCACTTCCTAGTGACAGAATAAAATATTTTGATAAAAAATTGGTTTACGATCTCCGACTTTTCGTTTTCTGACCTTGCTTTTATTTTGATTATGCAGGTCCATTACCTTTTTGGTCGCACATCTGGTTAGGTGGGTGTTTTATTCTGTTCTGTTCTCGACTTTTTAACATGATATTACAAAAATAAAAAAAACATCACGACTGACTTTTTATGTCCAAATTAGTTGTCATACCTTTTTTTTTCTTTAACATTTAATTGTTAAGAGTATTTTTTTCTTCTTCTCTGTTAAGTATATATTCATAAGAATATTTGTCTTTGAGTTTTATTTTGCTGATCCTGTTTTTGTTTTGAGTTTGCAGACCTACGATACATCTGGACAGGTCCGTGTTCTCATTCTCTTCCCTAGCTAGCTTCATATATAAACAGTCTTTTCTTGAAACACTTGACCTCTTGTCTCTCAATTGTTTCTTCTTTTGTTGATTTGAACAGTTTCTTATCGGTGGCTGGAATTTATCCTAGGTAAGTGATGCGATCTTCAATCTTACTTGTAAATTATTCTATATACTTCATGTGGTAATTAGAGAGGACCCTTTACTAGTGTGGATTTTAGAAAACCATTTTCCGTCTCAATTAACTAGGGACGAAAAATTTCGGGAGTACTTGTAGTGTGCCAATTTTGCTGAATTATCTCATTCTACAAGGCAGAACCTTTTTAGCCAAAAATACCTTGTTTGGAAGAAAAAGTTTTCATGTCGTGTTTCATTTTGCTTTTCATCTTCAGGACTAATTCTTGCAGCAAGATTTTATTGTGGGATTCTATTTATGGTCACATTGTTGGCATATAAAATTCGAAGGCGGCACCTCTCAATGTATGACGACATTGAAGAATTTCTACAAATCCAGAACAACTTCATGC